TGGTGTGCCATGCACGTCTTGGTGAGTCTACGATTATGTGTGCATGACGTATGCTATGTGTGTGCAGGTGTGTGTAAACTGTGTAGCGCATCATGTGCAGGTGTGCCAAGTGTGGTGGATGGATGTGTGTGTGACGTATTGGCAAACATGCATGGTCATGCAGGAGTGGTGCATGTATTGGTTGTTGCAAGTGTGGTGTGGGGGAGGTGTGCGTGCACTGTCTGTGTGCTGCAGATGGTGTGCTAGATCATGCATGTGTGTGCAGGGTGTGGTGTGCAGGTGTGGTGTGTAACTGTGTGTATGTTACACACACACCTGCACACACACCTGCACACACATGCATGTCTGCACACACATCTGCACACACAGACGTGCACGCACACACATCCCCACACACCTGCACACAGTGCACGTGGGTGTACACACTACACACACATCTCCACACACACCTGCACACATATCTGCACACATACACCTGCACACAGTGCACATGTGAATACACACAATTACGCACATCTTCACATACATCTGCACACACACCTGCACACACATGCATGTCTGCACACACATCTGTACACAGACCTGCACAAACACATCCCCACACACTTGCCCACAGTGCCCATGTGCGTACACACAACTACACACAAACTGCACACAAGTCAGCACAAACAGGCACAATGGCACACACCTGCACACACACTTGTCTACACATGCACATCTGCACACAAGCACATCTGCATAGAGACCTGCACACACACATCCCCACGCACCTGCACACAGTGCACATGGACGTACACACAACACACACATTTGTACACAAGCACATCTGCACACACACACCTGCACATACATCTGTACACAAACGCCTGCACACAGTGCACATGTGCATACACACAACTACACACGTACATCTGCACACACATCTGCAAACACACCCCTGCATGCACATGTGTCCACGCACACACCTGCATACACATGCATGTTTGCACAGACAGACCTGCACACACACGTCCCCACACACCTGCACACGGTGCACATGTGCGTACACACAACTACACACACATCTGCACACGCCTCTGCACAAACAAGCATATTGGCGTGCACACACCTGCACACACACTTGCGCACACACAAACACAGATGCCTTCTGTGCTGTCTACAAAATCATAAGAAAAACCAAGTAGGCCAGGGGCGGTGGTTCACTAAAAAAAAAAAACAACAAACAAAAATTAGCCGGGCATGGTGGCGAGTGCCTGTAATCCCAGCTACTCAGGAGGCTGAGGCAGGAGAATCCCTTGAACCCGGGAGGCGGAGGTTGCAGTCAGCCGAGATGGTGCCATTGCACTCCAGCCTGGCCAACAAGAGCAAAACTCCGTCTCAAAAAAAAAAAAGAACCAAGCAGACTAGAGATGTGTTACGATACAAACAGTTGGCGCCTAAACAAAGCATAGGGCTTCATGCAAATGCAGTGGAAAATGACAGCTGGAATAGCAACATCAGCCAAGGTGAAAGACGGTTGTACAGGCTGCACCTCTACTGTCTTAGCCTCCCTGCTCTTGCAGGAGCTGTGTCTCAGTCCATTCATGTTGCTGTAAAGGAATACCTGAGGTTGCGTAATTGATAAACAAGAGATCATTGACCGGGCGCTGTGGCTCAGGCCTGTAATCCCAGAACGTTGGGAGGGCGAGGCAGGTGGATCATGAGATCAAGAGATCGACACCATCCTAGCCAACGTGGCGAAACTCCATCTCTACTAAAAATACAAAAATTACCTGGACGTGGTGGCCTGTGCACCTGTAATCCCAGCTACTTGGGAAGCTGAGGCAGGAGAATCACTTGAACCAGGGAGGCGGAGATTGCAGTGAACTGAGATCACGCCACTGTACTCCAGCCTGGCGACAGAGCCAGACTGCTTCTCAAAAAAACAACAACGACAACAAAAACGAGAGGTCATTTATTCGGCTCTTGGTGGTTCTCCAGGTGGTCCGGGAAGCATGATGTTTGGATCTGCTGGTTGTGAGGGCGTCAGGCTGCTCCCAGTCATGACGGAAGGTGAAGGGAAGACATTGTGTGTGGAGACCACACGGGCAGAAGGGAAGCAAGAGAGAAGTGTGGAGGTGCCAGGTTCTTTTCAACAACCAGTCCTCCTGGAAACTGAGAATGAGAACTCACTCATTACTACGGGGGCAGGACCAAGCCATTCATAAGGAATTCCCCCACATGGGTTTAAACACCTCCCACCAGGCCCCATCTACCACAGTGGGGGGTCAAATTTCAACATGAAACTTGACAGGACCAAACAAACCGTATCCAAACCATACCACACTGCTTCTCTCCAGAATCGATGAAGAGAAGGTTATCTTCCCAAGAGCTCAATCTGATGACTCACCAAGGCTGCTGGAACTGGCACCATGATGGACCTCCTTGTCAATGGCTCCTATCTGCCTGTTGACATTGATGTAGAGAAGTTTCTCTTCCCCAAAGCTCAACAAGATGGTTCACCAAGGCTGCTGGAACTGGCACCATGGTGGATCTCCTTGTCAATGACTTGTACCTTGTTGCTGACATGGATGTAGAGAAGTTTCTCTTCCCAAAAACTTAAGATGTATCACGCAGGCTGCTGGAACTGGCACCATGGTGGATGTCAATGGCTATTATCTTCCTTTTGACATTGATGTAGAGAAGTTTATCTTCCCCAAAACTTCACAAGATGGCTCACTAAGGCTGCTGGAACTGGTACCATGGTGGATCTTACTGTCAGTGGCTCATATCTTCTGGTTGACATTGATGTAGAGAAGTCTATCTTCCCAAAATCTCAACCAGATGTTTCACCCAGGCTGTTGGAACTGGTATCATGGTGGATCTTCTTGTCAATGGCTCATACATTCTTGTTGGCATTGATGCAGGCAAGTTTATCTTCCCTAAAACCCAAGATGTTTCACCCAGGCTGCTGGAACTGGCACCATGGTGGATCTTACTGTCAATGGCTATTATCTTCCTTTTGACATTGATGTAGAGAAGTTTATCTTCCCAAAAACTTCACAAGATGGCTCACCCAGGATGCTGGAACTGGCACCATGGTGGATCTTACTGTCAATGGCTCGTATCTTCCTGTTGACATTGATGTAGAGAAGTTTCTCTTCCCAAAAGCTCAACCAGATGGTTCACCAAGGCTGCTGGAACTGGGCACCATGGTGGATCTTCTTGTCAATGACTTGTACCTTGACAATGACTTGTCAATGACTTGTACCTTGTTGCTGACATGGATGTAGAGAAGTTTATCTTCCCGAGAATTCAACCAGATGGCTCACCCAGGATGTTGGATCTTTTTGTCAAAGGCTCATATCTTCTGGTTGACACTGATGTAGAGAAGTTTATCTTCCCAAAAACTTAACAAGATGTTTCACCCAGGCTATTGGAACTGGGCCCATGGTGGATCTTCTTGTCAATGGCTCATACATTCTTGTTGACATTGATGTAGACAAGTTATCCCCGCACTTTGGGAAGCTGAGGTGAGTGGATCACCTGAGGTCAGGAGTTTGAGACCAGCCTGATCCACATAGAGAAACCCCGTCTCTACTAAAAATACAAAAATTAGCTGGGTGTGGTAGCACATGCCTATCATCCCAGCTACTCAGGAGGCTGAGGCAGGAGAATCGCTTGAACCTGGGAGGCGGAGGTTACAGTGAGCTGAGATCGCGCCACTGCACTCCAGCCTGGGCAACAGAGCGAGACTCCGTCTCAAAAAACACAAAAACAGAAACCAAAACCAAAAAACCCTCATTCTTCTGGAGCCCACAGAACTTCCACAACCAAAATCCCATGGCCCAGAGGGGTTGGTTTCTAGCTCTGTAGGACCGAGGATTACCCAGAAACTGTGAGTTGCAGGATTTCAAATCTCCCTTGTCTGGCAGCTTATCCTAAAGGTTAGTGGCTGAGGGGAAGCTTCTGAAAACAGATGACAACCAGGCTTTCCAAGAAAATGAGACTCTGGGTTTCCCACTCTGCATGTTCTTCTGCCCACAGAAAGAATTCCCCAGGTCTTAGTTTGCTCCCAGGTTTGGACCAAAACCTCCCAAACTGAGGTCCTTTTCAGGGGCTACTTACTAGCTACTTTTGTTTTTTGTGTTTTGAGACGGAGTCTTGCTCTGTCGCCCAGGCTGGAGTGCGGTGGCGCCATCTCGGCTCACTGCAACCTCCGCCTCCCGGGTTCGAGCATTTCTCCTGCCTCAGTAGCTGAGTAGCTGGGACTACAGGCGTCCACCACCACACCCGGCTAATTTTTGTATTTTTAGCAGAGACGGGGTTTCGCCATGTTGGCCAGGATGGTCTCAAACTCCTCACCTCAGGTGATCCGCCTGCCTCGGCCTCCCAAAGTGCTGGGATGACAGACATGGGCCACCGTGCCCGGCCAACTATCGTTAAACAAAAATAAAATTCTAAGCCCCCACAACCATCGAA